TGTGAGATGAGAGACGGAGGAAGATATGTGATTCTGGAACGTCGTGTGGTGTGTGTGTGCGTGCGGTGGGGAGTGTGTGGTGTGTGTGAGAGAGGCAGAAATATGTGATTGCTGGCAACCGTGTGGGTGTGTGTGTGTTGTGTGTGTGGCTGTGCTGTGTTGTGTGTGTGTGTGCGCCGGGGGGGCTGTGTGTGTGTGTGTGAGAGAGAGATATGTGATTGCTGGAACGTGTGAGCCAGTCGTGAGCTCATGAACGCACGCGCCGGGAGCCGTTCTTATAAAAGCTGCGATGAATGCACATGTTATCGTAATAAAATTCCACATCATATTGTGAGGAGATACTATATCTTAACCGTAACAAGATAGTACTATGTTACTGTATTAAGATACTACACCTTATTACAATAATATACACAATTTTATTGTAAGAAGACAACTGCATCCTACCGTAGCAAGATACTACTATCTTATGATAACAATATACTAATATCTTATTATAACAATATACTACTATCTTATTATAACAAGACACTACTATCTTATGATAACAAGACACTAATATCTTATGATAACAAGATACTACTATCTTATTATAACAAGATACTAGTATATTACTGTAACAGGATACTACCATCTGACTGTAACAAGATACTAATATCTTATTATAACAAGACACTACTATCTGACTGTAACAAGATACTAATATCTTATTATAACAAGACACTACTATCTGACTGTAACAAGATACTAATATCTTATTATAACAAGACACTACTATATCTGACTGTAACGATATACTACCCTCTGACCGTAACAAGATACTATTATATTACTGTAACAAGATACTACATCATACTGAAATACGATGACACCACGAATACATAGCATAAACATGTTGATATTACGCCCTTCTGATTTCACCTTATTGCAATAATACGATACTACCTTCTTGTAATAAGATGCCTAACCTTACTGTCAAAATCGAAAGAAGTGGGAGACAAAAAAGGTGTTTGGATACATATAGATCAACAAGTGCCAATGACCAATGCGTAGCAGGAAAGGCCGTTGAGTGAGAAGGTACTTCCCAACCCAGCGAGGACAAAGACATGCACGGGACGCTTGCAGAAGATAAAACTAGACAAACGCAGAAAAGTGCCAGACCTCGTCACATCAAGAATAAGGAGTGATTCACACCACTACCACCAGTCACTGGCGGTCAGAGCTAACCTTCGTTTTTAACTCTAAACTATGCTACATTTGTTTTTAATTAATTGAAAAATTACTTGTTATCAAATTCGCGTAACTGTTAATCTCTATTAATCTCTATTAATCTATTAATCAAATTACTAAAGCCTGATAAGAAACGAGGATTCACTCGGCTGTAACAGTAAGACGATGGTGAGATATGAGTTGACCTTTCTGGGTCGCATTTAATAATTATTGAATTAATGATTGAATATATAAATGTAATCGCAAAAACCAGATATCCGAAAAAGGACTTAAGCGGCAAGCTATAAAATTTTTCAAACACAATACCTTACAACAACTAGATTTTCAAAGTTCAGAAATCACTTCAGAAAGATATGCAGATTTCAGTATTTCATCCGTTTTTCAAATAAAAACTATGGAACCCTATAGAGATTACAATGCACCACAACAGCTGAGAAAACATTTTTTGCTCTTGCAAATGCTGCCTCGTCTATTTGCAATTATATTAACGCACGTGTATTTTCAGTTAATTCCATCTTAAACCGAGTCAAGTTAATTTATTCCTAGATTCTATTAAACTAGACTAATCACGATTGAATTTGACTATGCCACCGTGGAAAATATTACAAGCACTTCCTTCTTTTGAGAAAATAAAATACATGGAAATATAATTATGGGTTTCTTCATGCTTCGTGATTAAATTACAGCATTAAACGCTCGATTTTGCCTTTCCTTTCGACACAAACAAACAGCTGTAACTGACGTAGATCTCACGTAGCAAGAAATTATAGTGCGCACAACAATTCAATTTGTGTCAAGGTGTGTATTTTTAGCTATCTTAAACGCAACCTTGAATTTGAGCATTCAATTAGTGCCCCTACAAATTACTTAATTTCCATTCTTAAAAAGATTTCACTTCTCATTAAAATATCACATGGTTATTTGACTTAGTGTTCGATGTAATTCGATGTAATGTTGTTTACTAACTGCGCGTAGAGTGCTGCTAATAATCAAACCACAGGTTTTACTCTTCTCACGCTTTACATATGCGTGCATGCGTGCGTGCGTCCGCGCGCGTGCGTGCGTGGGTGCATGATATGGGAAAGACATTACATTTTGAACAGGTGCATGTACATGACCGAACAGTGTGCTCGCGGTGAGTGCATGCATGCGAACCAGAGTTCGATAGGCAATCAATTACCAGAGGTAGACAAAATCGATCAACATGTTTCGAGGAAACAAGCGATTCTAGAAAACACTCACTTATGTGCTGCCTAATTACGTGTACGTCTACAAGGCTAGCTAATAGCAGGAGACAGCTAGTGAAAGTGTGCATGCATAATGCCAAACGAACTCTGACCTTCGCAACAGCCTTTACATATCACTCTTGGATCTAAACAGGTCCGACTCTTTCCCGATTTCAAATCTGCTGGCAGAATATATTTCAAAAGAACTCGATCATTAACAGAAATACATTAATTGTTAATTAGCCTTAGTTCAAGCGAGAACAGCATTTTTTTATGGCAAAATTCGGTTGTCCGATTCTGACCTTGGGACACACGCATGTATAAACCAGTAAGTCATGGGGCATCACTAAACATGTTGGTGTAGTTCGACGGGTGGAGAATATAAATTGAAAATAGACGAGCCACGTTTCAATGCAAGCACACTTTCAGTCCAGGCAGCAAATAAATATGTAGGCGAAATTAAGCGCATGTTAAGGCGCAAATTAAATTTTGCAAAAAAAAGCAAAAAAAATATTACCTGCGGTTACTGGTTAATACAGGCATGAGCGTTAGGGGGAAAAACAAGCAAAGTGAGTCTCCAACTAAATTTGCACCCAATTAAATAAAATACAGCAGAAAACAAATGTCAAGTACACTTGAGACGTCCGCAAGAACGCACTTAACGACAACACAATTAAAAACAAATTCATTAAGAAACGCAGCCGAGCAATTAACTCACGTTATTAGTTCCTACGAGGTGTGGCCATCAGACGAGCAGATTTCGAAATGCAATGACGTAATGTCTTATAATCATAGCCAGCCTGTCAGAATTTAGTAGCCGTGATTGCATTCATGTCTGCTAACGTATCATTAATGTCACCATTTTAAATGAACAGGCCCGGCGTGAATGTGATTGTCGAGTCTTTTATCGCACTGCGAAATGTGAGACAGGATGACAATGATTGCGTAGAAAAGCGCATGACGTGGTGCGCAGAATCGAAACACTACCGCATATTACGAGCGAGCAGGGAACAGCGAGATCGCAGCAATAACGACCGTATGTACCGCCAATAATCATAACAATAATAAATGTATATATTATACGTACCGCCAACGACCTCGTTGTTCCACGTGATTTCGACCATGTGCGGTGCACTGTCCTTGGGCGTGAATTCCACATCATACATGCCCTCTCCCATCTGCCGCACAAACGACTCGACCTTGCGACCTTTGCAGGAGATATCTACTGAGAGCAGGCCCTCGCCAGCCTCTGTAGAATCGACTGCATGGAGACAAGCTTAGAGTAAGCACGAAAAGTCTCGCATAGAAAAAGCTGCGAGTTGAAATGTTACGTCGCTCCTTGAAAAAATCTTGTGAAATCATTAGAAATTTAATTAAGCTATTGACGCTGTTCCATATGTTAAAATATTTTCTCTTACATAGCTACTTGAAAAGTAAATGCTTTTAATTATATTGGCTGCAAGTACCTACTGGTAGCACGAAAAAATTTATTTATTTATCAAGACTAAAAACGAAATCTGAATCATATGATTGTCAGTATCATCGACCACGATGAAACATTTCAATCAAAGATGGAATATCTCTGTGGACTATTACGGTCCGGCATGTTGCACCATCATCTACTTTTTTTCCTGATAGTTTTTACTCATGTATAGAGACAAGAGAAATACTCATGTATAAAGATGAGAAACAAGTTTACCAGGCCGTATTAGGCACATTATGATTGACAAAAATTGGGCTGAATCAGTTCAAAGGTTAGCGAGTGCATTAGTTTTCATAGCGGTGCAATCCATGCCACTTTAATATCTCTTTAGTGAATGAATGCAAGCACGCAAACCGATATCACCGCAACACACACGCACGCACGCAAAGACGCATGTACGCACGCAAAGACGCATGCACACACGCAAAGACGCATGCACGCACGCAAACCGATATCACCGCAACACACACGCACGCACGCAGAGACTCATGCACGCACGCAAAGCGCATGCACACACGCAAAGACGCATGCACGCACGCAAACCGATATCACCGCAACACACACGCACGCACGCAGAGACGCATGCACGCACGCAAAGACGCATGCACACACGCAAAGACGCATGCACGCACGCAAACCGATATCACCGCAACACACACGCACGCACGCAAAGACGCATGCACGCACGCAAACCGATATCACCGCAACACACACGCACGCACGCAAAGACGCATGCACGCACGCAAACCGATATCACCGCAACACACACGCACGCA